CAGGGGAGGAAGCCAAAAATATTCTCCTTTCTAGAAGTTTTGTCTTTTACACCTTGTGTTCTGGTACAACTTTCTCTATTTCACTCTTCCATTAGATGGCGGTAGGTGCTCAAGAAATAATTTTCAAAGCCATGGACGCGTGAGGGCGGTTGGGTTTTCTTTTTCTTTTTTCTTTCTTCTTTTTTTTTTTTGTCTTTTAAATATGTTACTGTGCTTGGTAGCTGAGCTGGTACGCACCAGTGGTCCCCTAGAAGGGCTGGGAGGCATGTCCTGTGTGTGTGCCTGGGGATGGTGGGGAGGTCAGGAGACTTGCTACAAGCTACTGGTTTAATCAAAGTTCTTCCTAACTATTGGGGAGCATCTTACCATCTGGGGGATAAAAAGAAAGATCCTTCGAATTTTTGTCAACTACCACAGACCTGAGATAAGCTATGGAGCCGAGTAAGGAGAGCAGCCAGCACTGATCTGGAGACGCTGCGCCATCTGTTGCATACATTTCTGGAGATGGGGAATGGTTCCAGCGACCTGTGGACTGAAATCCCACACTGTGACTTGCATTCAATCCACAAGTATTTATGAATTCTCTCTCGTGTGCCTGGCACCCCATCAGAAGCTTCACAAGAAATAGAAGAGGTGGCGCCCACCAGTCTACTTTATAATAGCAATCACAAAACATAGAACGTCTGAGCAAGACCTGGCCTGACAAAATGACGTTTTGTGGTGAAGAACCTTATATCCTTGAAGTTTTACAAGAGGTTATTGGGGTCCGAAGTGGTATCAGGATTAGTGTAGGGAGTGAGAGAAGAGGAGGAAAAGGAGAAAGACCTGGTGCAGAACTCTAGTGATGGGGGACGCCTTTGGAAAAGTGTGGAGAGGATTTAGAACTGGAAGGGGAAAGGAAATAGCAGGCTCTGCCGCTTCTGAGAGCAGGGGCTCAGCGGACCCTTCTTAGGCCCAGCCTTTCTGTTCATGGTGGAGAATGCAGGTCAGGTTTCTTACTTTGGCCATGTCCAGTAGGCCCTCGCTTCCACGCCCAGGCGCCAGCTGCTGCGGACCTTGACTGGGCGGACCCTAACTGGGCTGCCTGCGGAACCAAGAACTGCCACGGAGGGGGCGTGGCGAGCGAGGGGGCGTGGTGCGGGCGGGCCTGGTGGGCGGGGCTCTCCTCTCCCCCGCGCTCGCCGCCGCTGCCTCCGCCCGCCGCGCGGACCAGCGAGCCGGGTAGCAGCCGCCCGCCCGCCCGCGTGTCGGGGCTGCGGTGGGCCAGGATGTCGGGCTTCCTGGAAGAGCTGCTCGGCGAGAAGCTGGTGACGGGCGGCGGCGAGGAGGTGGACGTGCACTCGCTGGGCGCCCGTGGCATCTCGCTGCTGGGGCTCTACTTCGGCTGCAGCCTGAGCGCCCCCTGCGCGCAGCTCAGCGCCAGCCTGGCCGCCTTCTACGGCCGTCTGCGAGGGGACTCGGCGGCCGGGCCGGGGGCTGGGGCCGGGGCCGGGCCGGGGGCCGGGGCGGCCGCGGAGCCCGAGCCTCGGCGCCGCCTGGAGATAGTCTTCGTGTCCTCGGACCAGGACCAGCGGCAGTGGCAGGACTTCGTGCGGGACATGCCGTGGCTGGCGCTGCCCTACAAGGAGAAGCACAGGAAGGTGAGCGGGGCGGCCGCGGGCCTGGCGGCGCCCCCGACCTCCTAGCACGGTCCGCGCGCTCCCGGGAGCAGGGTCCCCCGGCCCGCCTTCTCCATCTTGGCCGACGCCTCCCCTGGCGCCCCTCTCTGCGCCGGCACCCCCATCCCAGAGCCCCGCCGGGCTAGGGCGCTCGTGGCAACTCCTCGGTTGCCGGTGCCAGGCTGCGCCCACACTGGGAAGTTTGACACACCGGACCTGGGCTTAAACTGGGACTCCGGGAGCCTCCCACGTCCTCGGGCTGGGAGTCCTGCGTGGGGATGGCTGTGCTCTGGGATCCCTACTCCCAGACCCCACCCCGCCCCCCGCGAGGTGCGGGAGGGCCCTCTTCCCCCGACCACTTGACTCCCAGCAGATACCTGTAGTGGGTGGGGGAGGGCACTAGCCCCCTACCCATAATGCCCAATCCAGGAAGTTTCCTTTCTTTCCCAGAGCGGTCTGCCTTCCTGGGGCCCCCTCTCCCTATCTAGGGACCTGGAGCGGGCGGCTGACGGTTGCTTTCGGGGAGTAGGGAGCTCAGCCCTCTACCCTTTTCTCTTCCCTCGGCCCCCGCCCCGCCCCCGGGCTGAGTTAGGGGCCACCGGGGAGCTTTTCATTGTCTGGCTGTCCAGAGATCCTCCCGGGCCCAGAAGAGCCCCGTCCTTGTAGATCCGGGAGTTTCGTGGTGGGCCACTGCTGTCTTGGCATGCTTCGAATTAAATGCAGAACTGATCCCATCGGTGCAGATGAATGACTGGAGGAGCTAGGACTTGGAATTTATACTTTGCTGTCAACTTCCCGTTCCTTCCAGTTTGCTGGCTGAAATTAGTTTTTTGAGTGTATCTGTTGGATGAAGACGTCTCTTTCAGTAAAATAATTTCAGGACATTTTGTAATGAGTGGTAATAGAGAAAAAGTTTTGGCGTGCTCTTGCTTAATTCGCGGGTCTGATGCAATGTGTGAATCCAGCCCATTCGTTTTCTGAGGAGAATCTCAGTTTATGGTGTGTACAGGAGGAGGGCTATCCCGAGGTGTTTAGGTTTCTCTAGGGAAATTTGTAACGCATGCCATGTGTTTCTTTTATGTGTACAGAATCTTGGTGAGAAGCATGATTTAGATTTAGTGAGAGCAAAAGGTTTATACTTTGACCCCGAATGTCTTGAGTAAATCATCCATGCTAAAGCAGTAGTGTACAGTACATATCTGAGATTCAAAACATGAAATATTAGTTGAAGAAATACAGTTTGTAAATTTAACATTGAAAAAACATGGGTCCACTAGCCACACAGAAGCAAGAGTTTGCATCTTGACCGATTCTTAAGGTTTTTTTGTCCGTTTGATTTATATGCCTGTTAGGGTTTGAGTGTGCATGACTAGTACTTTTTGCTTAAAAATATGGGAATCCTTTGTTTCCTTGGTGGTTGTTTTGGGGATCCTTTTGGGAAGAAATAATGTTCAGAAAATGATTTAATTAAGTTTTTTTTTTCATTATCATGGTGTGCTGCTGTTGTAGACCAAAATCTGTTTAAAATAATGTCCTTATTGGGCAATACAAATGACTTCTAGCCTGAAAACATAAAATGAATGGCAAAATGTTACAGATTTAAGGCCTACTGTAGTTTTTTTTTTTTTCTTTTTTCTTTTTGAGACAGGGTCTCCCTGTAGCTCCAGCTGTCCTAGAACTCACTGTGTAAGACCAGGCTGGCCATGAACTCACAGAGATCTGCCTGCCTCTGCCTCCCTAGTGCTGGAATTGGCTTACTGTAGTTTTTATACACAGGAAAATATAATTGCTGGATAGTAAGAACAGGGAGCAAATAGACATGTTTAGAAATGCTTAAAGCTTATTCTCCCCACCCCACCCCCACCCCCAAGCCTTGCCTGGCTCTCTATCCTGGCTAGTCCCTTTACATAAAAAAAGAAAATGAGGGGAAAATAAAAAGTTCTGTAGCCCTAGGCTCCTGGTTCTACCCATATGAGCAGCAGGCTCTCTTGTGAAAATACACTTCAGGATGCTGGATGTACCTAAACCATGTGAACCGAGCATCTTGAACATTCCTTCCTTCCTTCCTTCCTTCCTTCCTTCCTTCCTTCCTTCCTTCTTTCTTTCTTTCTTTCTTTCTTTCTTTCTTTCTTTCTTCGTGTGTGGTGCTAGGGATCAAATCTCATGCATGCTAAACATGTACATATTCCGTCACTGAGCTACACATCCCCAAATCCCCCAGATTTATTTTTTGTGCTGATTTTCAAAATCACATCGTATAGTTCATTTTGTTCTCTAAAACCAGACCAGTTTTGGAAGCTCCTCCATGGTGGCAACTCAATATCTGATCTCAGAAACATTCTTTTCCATGGTGATGTATACCAGGTCGAAAGGCCCCAGCTGTGTTTCTTATGAAAAACATACTTGGAAATTGAAAGGGATTTGTACTTGCTTTGGAAAGAATTGTTTCTCACCTGAAAACCAAAGAGGTGTAAACCAAATTCCTCTTCTGTAACCACGTTTTTATGTTCCTCAGTTTGAAATTGGGGTGCACAGAAATCTCTGAGTTTTAATGCAGATTTTACTATAAGAAAATGAAAAGCCAGAGCAACCCAGTTCAGGACCTTCATGGGTGAACACTTAACTTTTTTTGTTGATATATCTGTTCATACTGTTTTACCAACCATAAAAATAGCTTTAAAGACGGGAATTTTGTTTTACGCTGAAGGGAAACCAAAGTTCCAGATTAAATTTTTTAAAAAAGTTCTCATTAACATTTTTTTTTAAAAATCATTTGTGTGCTTCTTCCCACTGGGATAACAAAGGGTATGGTTCTAATTAGTTATTGGCTGGCATTTCTTTATAGAAAATTGAAAAATTATGGTGAGGAAAGAAAATGTTGTGTGGCATTTCTTTTTCTTTTATTAATTTCTCCTTTTTATAGTGAGAAAGTCTGGGGATGACCATATATGTTCAGCCTGCATTTTGCCTGGCTTCTCTCCCCCTTCATTGGAGCTGTGAGAAAACATGAAGTAAAGGGGTTCCAGTATCATCGTTTTTTCTTTATGGAAGGTTGTCCTGTTTCTGCTTGTTTTAGTGGTAGGTCCAAAAGTAATTGAAGCTTTTTTTTTTCCTTTCTGACTTTCAGAACATACATATTATATAGCTATATAGAAATTGTAATTAGATGATAATAGAACTTTGAGTGCACTTATAAGAGCAGCTTTGTCAGGAATCCTGTAATCCTGAAGTTAAGGCGGTTGGGCTTGTTTTAATAAGTAGGTTGGTGGATGTTTTTCAGATTTCTAAAGAGAGAGAATGTGATGAATTGTTGGAAATTGGTGATGATTTGGACTTTTGGATTGGGGCTGTCTTTTCTTTTTTCTTTTCTTTTTTTGTTTGTCTTTTTGAAGCAGGGTCTCCCTGTAGCCCCAGCTGTCCTGGAACTTACTATGTAGACCAGGCTGGCCTTGAACTCACAGAGATGCGCCTGCCTCTGGCTCCTAAGTGCTGGGACTACAGGCGTGCTCCACCATGCCCGGCTGGGGCTGTCTTTTTAGATGAGTAGAAATTACTTAGTGGTCAAAACTGGAGACTGTCTCCAAGATAACTTAGGGATCACAGAAGTGAGCACCAATTTTGGTTTTAAAGCCATAGGACCCAAGTTTGCCTGGGCTGGACACCTGATGGAAAGCATTTGGTCACTGTGGGTGCTCTGACATCAGGGGGTGCAAGCCACTGACCTCCTTCTAGACAGGTGTATCTAGGGTCTGGTTTGGTCCCTAAGTTTTCTGTATGACAGGGATAGAGGAAGACAAGTTGGAGAAAAGAAGTCAGGATGGGAAAGCATCGGGGTCGGGGGCTCTGGTCCAACATCATGGTTTACTTGGCTAGGGTAAGTGGAACCATCCTGCAGCTGCCCTGTCTAGGCTCTGTCAGGGTTGGCTGTTTGCTCTGACTTCTAGCTGTGTTGTTTTTTTGGGGGGGGTGGGGGGTGTAGACTAAATCTGAGGCATGGCCTGGGCTTTACCTTGGACACTTTGAGTGTGACAAGATCTGGTGCCAACTGTCTTCAACTTCCATCTGGCTTTCCTCTTAACCACTCCTTGGCCTATAAGAGAATGCTGACATGTCCTCTTGTCTTGCCTTACTCCCTTTCAAGACAGTGAAGGATGGCAAAAAGATACAGCTTTGAAAGGTAGAGGTTTCTGCCTTGTTCCTACAGAGCCTCAACTAGCCAGGACAGGCTTTTGTTGGAGACTATGTTTCCAGGATTTTCAACCAGCCTAATAAGAGATAACAGTCCAATTAAAGTAATCAGACCTATGTCAGTGCTATATTCCTGGAGAGCTTTTTTTTTGGTCTTTTTGAGACAGTTTTCCTATAGCCCCAGCTGTCCTGGAACTCACTACGTAGACCAGGCTGGCCTTGAACTCACAGAGATACTCCTGCGTCTGCCTCCCGAGTGCTGGGATTAAATTAGGTGTACACCACCACGCCCAGCTTTTTTTTTTTTTTTTTTTTTTTTTTTTTTTTAAAAAACGGGGTTTCCTTGTCCCCT